AGCAAATTTTGCCCTGAGTTCTCACGAGATTTTTCTCCACTGCTTCATCTGTCTTAAGATGAGTCCATTGCAACCTGATTCCGCATTTAGCCATCTGATGGTTTTAGTGGTGGGTCATGTTAAGGAGTTCTATCTTTGTCTGTATCCTAAATTTGCAGGTATTTTATTGAAAGTATGGAAGTAATTCCATTACCAGTCAGGCTTTGTATTGGGTTTTAATAGCTTATGGAATAAGAATATTCTTTTTTTACTTGATTACTCACTACTCTCTTGCAAAATGTTTTATCTCCCATGTGGACCTTCTTGAAGTTCTTTCTTTCTCAATCCCTCAGTATTTTTGGTAGTTTGATTGGCATTACAGTGTATATATCAATGAGAAATAATTTGACATCTTAAGGTAGCTTATTTTTTCTGATCATAAAATTATGTTTTCATTATGAGGATTTAAAAAAGCAGAAAAGTATAAAAAATAAATGTATTACCTTTAATCTCACCACTTGGAGAAAAACTGCTAACATTTTGCTATATGTCCTTTCAGGCCTTTTCTCAGTTTATACATGTTTGAGCATGTATAAAAACTTGCGTTGATATGATTATCATATTTTGTCTTCCTATCCAAAAGAGTAGAGTATGTCTGTCCACATTCCATTACAAAGAACCAGTTGGATCAGTTTATCTATTCCACTGTTAATCTGTTTCTGATTAACTTGTTTCTACTTTTATCTTTATTAATTTTTTTGTCCTATTTTTGTGCATTTCTTTGGTTTCTTACTAGTTTCTTGAGTAAAATTATTTCTTCATTTAACTTTTTTTTATCCTTGATTGATAATGAAAGCATTTAAAGGTATTGTAGCTTTGGTAAATAGAGACAATAAAATCTATAATCATCTAGAATAAACTAAATCTAACTTAAAAGAAATCGTTAGCATTTTCTGTAGAGTACAAGGCACAACGTATATGTTTAAAATCAAACTGTTATTATTTATATATCCCAGATCTTATTGAGTGCTAACTAGAATTATAAAATACTGATAGTAGGAGGGGAAAGGTCCTAGCTAGTATTTTTAGGTGAGAGTTTGAGGTAAAGATGGGGGCATGCTATCACATAGGGTTTCTTTTATATCCATCAAGACCCTACACCTGTGATTTTGTGCTAAGTGCACAGAAACTGATTTTTAATTCTAGTGACTTGTAACATACTAATCTTCCTGCCCTTTTACATTACTGCAGAAAAAGCAAAACAGACCTCCTAAATGGGCTAATATTTATTGTATCTCTACTATAGAATATCAACTAATCCACCAATAACCATGAATTTAAATGATAGTACTGAAGAGATTCATGTCCAAAGGATAACAGGAGAAGTTTTAGCACAAAACTATGATATGGTTTTTTATTTTTAGGGACAGGTTCTCGTTTTGTCACTTAGGCTGGAGTGTAGTGGTGATCATAGTTCATTGCAGTCTTGAACTCCTGGGCTCAGCTAATCCTCCCACCTCAGCCTTCTGGGTAGCTGGTACAACAGCCAGGCACCACCATGCCTGACTACTTGACTTGTTTTTAAAGGATGGGGATTGAATTTTTTTCTATAGCTAATGACATGATCTGATAGTTTTTATGTAATCAGGTTTTTTTCCCCTTTAATTTGTTAATGAGTAAGTTATAACAATAGATTTTCTAAGGTGGTCTAGTGTAAAACCATGCTTGCATTCCTAAGGTAAATCCTAATTCTTCAGTTTTCAATTGTTTCACTTGACCTTTTGCCAACAACTTTCAAATATAACTGCCTTCAGCAGGTATGGGAGTAACTGTCCTGTTAATCACCAAGCAGCATCGTGTACCCCGTGAGCAGCGCATTCATCCACTCTAATGCTTGGCAGAAGGTGAATATTATGAAAAAGAATACAATAAGCTATTTACAAAGGGGAAAAGCAGTGCCAAACCATTCTGTGATCTAATAGATTCAGTAAATCTATGTAAGTTTCCAGTTTAGATTACTCAAATGACCCAGATACTGTCAAAAGAGCCTCTGAAAAGCCTTGAAAAGTCCTTTTTTTAAAAAAATAGAAGGTAGGTTTCTTCCTCATACAATAAATGGAAAATTGATAGGATACAATATTTTGTAGGCTTCTTTTTCTTCTCATTTCTTTGTCTTCAGTGGTTTGCTAAGCTCTTTATTTTTTTAACCTCTCTGATATACCCCATATGCGTTTTGCTGGCTGCTTAATCTGTAGTCACATGACATACTTCTGTAAAACTTTGAGGAAGGGTCTGATTTCCACAGAACCCAAAGCCACCACTCCTGGGAGCCACACCTGTCCCTGCAAACAGCACAGAGAGAGTATAGGATTGTCGTTTTTCCAGGCAATAACATGACCCAGCTTTAATTTTCCTTTTTACCTTTTCAGTTGTTTGGGATCTAGATTTCAAGTTAGAATATCATTTCTAGGCTTGAAACCTAGACGTTCTAAAAGAAAAATATCTATTTATTCCCCCTGAGGTTGAAGTTTATAGGTGGTGTCCTTAGAATCTTAGTTCTTTCTGCAGAAACTCGGGGTCCACTTCTAGAAGAGTAAGGAGATTATAAATAACCACTTGCCGTGAGTGGTCTGGGGGAGTCAGCAGAGGTGAAATGACTAGTGTGCTGCCCACGTGAATTCTGGAGCCAAACTGATTTAGAGTGGCAGCTGGTCAGAGACGGCAGAACCAGAATTTGAGGGAAATATTGGCAAATAGATGATCCTGTAGCTGTGACATTGGAGTAGGGCACATTAAAGGACTTAAGAGATCTGGACATCTGGTTTAAACAGTCAGGTGGACCAGGAGTGTATCCAGGTGATGCATTGGAATATGAGAAACTGTCCTCCTATCAGAAGCATGAACCAGGGGACCTTCTCTCCACCCTGGACCATAAGAGCAAGAGGTGGGCTGTGGCTGCCCATGGTGCAGGCCCAGACTGTGGCTGGTATTGCTGTGGTTCTGGGCCTCCTGCCAGGGGTACAGTACAGCTCAGCATTGATAAGCAGCTTGGCCTGCCTGTTGGCAGCTCTGGGCAGGCATGTCTCCTGGACACCTGGGTCCTATGGGGAGAGGGTTTCCCACAGCGTCCCAGAACTTTCCCTTTACATCTGATTGATGAGAAGTGGGTCACACAGTGCCCCCACGCTGCCTTTCTTGAAATCACAGTTGCAGCCTGATTCTTGAACAAAATTGGAATTCTATTAGGAAGATACAAGGTTGCGGGGTGGCTTTTGGTGAGGAATGGGCACCGTTTACCACACCAGGCCTCCACTCCTTCACCTTTCCCCACCCAGTACTCACAGTGATCTGATCATGTAGCCCTTCCGGTGCTGCCTGGAGCACCGCATGCTTGGCCCAGCACCCGCTCCCACCACACCTCCACTCGCAGTCCCACCACACGTCCAGCTGTACTCCCATCCCTCCCTCCATGCCAGGCCTGGCCAGGCCAGTGGCTGCCTGGCAGTCATGTTTGCTCAGGGGGCTCTCTTGGCCTGAAGAGACCCCCACCCCATTCACCATTACCTGATCCCTCCTGAAGCTTTCTGCTTCAGTTACGGGGTCTTCAGCGAGGCCTTCAGGTCTGCAGGGCCCTGTCCCATGGAACTTCAAGCTCATTTCAGTAAATGACTAATTGTCGCTCAGCCAGGGTCACTCATGGGAACACCCTGGCCCTCAGAGGACTCAGACATGCAGGTGAAACTGTTTGGGGTGCTTCAGGGAAGCTGAGGGAATGTACTGCCTGAGTAGCCACTGGCGGCTGCTGAGAGGTGGGAAGGTTACTGAGCTGAAAACACGGAGATTTCAGTCATCTTCAACTCCCACTCTCCAGCACCAAACATCAGCTCTCTGGTGAGCAGAGGCCTGTGGCTTCATGCTGGGAAGGAAGCCTGTCAGCAGCTTCTGTCCACAGGGCCTGTTTTCCAGCTCCCCTGGGCAAACCATGAGGATGAGGAAGTCAGGAAGAGGCCCGTGGAGACTGCTTGGGGAGAGCCCCACAGACGCTGCACCAGGAAGCCTCTGCTCAAGGGGCTGTGGCCTGGGGAGAGTTGCCACAGGCCTCAGCCTGGCTGTGCAGAGTCAGCTGTGCCCCAGGAGCGGAATCTTCTGAAGATTAAACTACAAAGCCAGAATGCCCCTGCAGCCTTTATTATGTGGGATGTGACAGGCATGTGGCCTGGAGCTCATGGCATGTCTGCCAGGTTCTCCCCCTACATCCCCAGATCTCTGTTCTTGAAGCCCCTTAAAAAGGGGCAGAAGTTTGGTGGAGACAGTCAGATGTTTGAGGAAGGGTGGTCTTACCACTTGGGCAGATGTGCAGAACCTGTAGCTCTGACCCCTTGCTCTTACCTGTGACTCCACAGGGGGCTGCTTCCCAGTCCTGCCTGACCCTGCTTCCCCCTTGATAGACGTGCTTTCTTCTGGACATGTTAATGCCTTTCCTGAGGTGAGGCCTCACATAAAGAGAGCACCCTCTCTTCTGTTCACATGACCTCGGGACTCGTCTGTGAGCTGGTGTTGCCCAGCACTTCTCTCTCCAGTGCGAGTTCTTGGGAAGCACCTGAATGGGGCCTTGCTGCTTTGAAAGGTCCCTCTCAGGGCACAGACCCTGCTTCTGAAGCTTGCCTCTGTGTTCCCAAAGGTGAAATGCAGATGTTTATCCTCATCTTTGAGTTTTCCAACAGGCTTACTCCCCCATAACTGAAGTGTAAATAAACTAGCATTTTCTCCTCTCCCTTGGTGGAGCAGCATTGCCAAAATAATAATAATTCAACTTTAGGCCAGTAAGAATGAACTGTGGCTGATTATCAGCAGTGTCCATTCACAACGGGGCCAAGAACCAAGCAGAGGGAGTTTTGCAGTAGCCATCTAGATGCCAAAACAGAAACACCCCACATTCTTACTCATTGTATTAGCCTGTTTTCATGCTACTGATAAACACATACCTGAGACTGGAAAGAAAAAAGGTCTAATGAACTTACATTTCCACATGGCTGGGGATGCCTCACAATCATGGTGGTAGAAGGTGAAAGGCACATCTCACGTGTTGGCAGACAAGAGAAGAGAGCTTGTGCAGGGAAATTCCCCCTTATATAGTCATCAGATCTCGTGAGACTTAGCACTATCAGGAGAACAGCAGGAAAGACCTGTCCCCTGATTCAGTTACCTCCCACTGGGTCCCATCCACAGCATGTGGGATATCAAGATGAGATTTGGGTGGGGGGAGACAGCCAAACTGTATCACTCATGGTAAGTTACTCAAGTGTCATTCCAAGTTTTTTTCCTTTTAAACTATATGTAATTTTAGCATTGCAATTTCTTCCATCTGTTAGGTATTCAGTAAATACTTTTCAGGTGAATGAATGAATGTCAGAGAAACTTGCAACGGAATTGAGAGGCTGCTATAATTATGTTAATATGTTGAAAAATAAAGTTTATTATATCTTAATAACAGCAGCTAATATTTTGGGGCTTTATATGTGCTAGGCACTCTTAGAGCTTTTCCATCTTTTGATCTTATCTTTTGTCTTAACCATATGCTGTTGATTCTGTCTAATCTTTTTTCAGTTGAGCAAACAGAATGATTAAGTTATTAGCCTAATGAATGGATGAAATGAAGCCAGGATTCAAAACTGGGTCTGACCTTAGAGCGCTTACTTTTTTTTTTTTTTTTTTTTTTTTTTTTTTAGACATGGTCTTATCCTGTTGCCCAGGCTGGGATACAGTGGTGTGATTATAGCTCTCTGCAGCCTGGAATTCCTGGGCTTAAGTGGTCCTCCCACCTCAGCTTCCCAAGTAGCTGGAATTACAGGTGCACAACACGACATACCATGAATTTTTTAATTTTTTTTTTCATAGAGACAGAGTCTTGCTCTGTCGACCAGGCTGATCTCAAACTTCTGACCCTAGATGATCCTCCCACACCTCAGTGCTTCCCAAAGTGCTGGGATGACAGGGGTGAGCCAAGGTACCCAGAGCTCTTACTCTTAATCACTGATTTATACTGCTTCCCAGTTACCTGAAAGCAGAGACAGAAAAACATTTAAAACAGACCTAAGACTCCAATTAATATGCTGTCACTATTGTCTTAAGGCCAAAGCCCTTTGATTTGAAGAAAACCACCTTAGAAAGCTTTGTTGAACCGGGAGAGTTTTACCTGATAGTAATACAATGGAGAAATTCACAGTGAAAACCTGAGTCATCAAGAAATGTTGTTTCCTTTGACCTCTAACCTGAATTTTAAGGGGAGAGGGGGTGTGTTGACCCCTGAGTGTGTGGGGGTAGGGACTGTGGGAATGCTGCTGGAAGAAAACAACAGCAGATCCTAAGGTCAGAAAGCCTGGCCACTGAGGAAGTGATGCAGGTAGTTTGTCCTTGTTGGAGTGCACAGGGTGGTCGGTGGAAGTGGCCTGGAGGAGATTACAGCCAAGCAGTTAGGATTTTATCCTCAAGACAGTGGGAGTCTCTGAAGAATTTTTTAAATAGTTTTTATGGAGATATAATCCGTATAAATCGCATATGTCTATGGGTTTTAGTATATTCACACAATTGTGCAACCATCAGCACAATCAATTTTAGAACATTTTTGTCACCCCATAAAGAAATCTTAACCTCCAAGACCACCTCCCTCCCAGCCCCTGGCAACCACTAATCTATGTTTTGGCTGTGTGGACCTGTCTCTTCTGGATGTTTTATACATATGGAACCTGCGCTATGCGGCCTCAAGCAGTCCTCCCACTTTAGCCTCCCAGAGTGCTGGAGAGTTCTTTCTGTGCTCTGGATACAAATCCCTTACCAGAAAAATGATTTGCAAATATTTCCTCCCATTCTGTGGGTTATCTTTTCACTATCTTGATAATGTCCTTTGTGGCACAAAATGTTTTAATTTTTATTTTTATGAAGTTGAGTTTACTATTTTTCATTGGTGGTTTGTGCTTTTGGTCAAAGGAATTTTAAACAAGAGTTACGGAATCACGTTTACAGTTGAGAAAGATGACTTTGGCCACAGTTAGGCGAGAAAGAATGAAGGGCAGAACAGGGAATGGGTTGGGTGGGAAGATGAGGGCTGGAAAGACATTTGTTTTATTTGTTTATTTATTTTTAAGGCAGAGACTTGGCAGCGCTGCATCTGTTGGTTCACTGCAACCTCCGCCTTCTGGGTTCAAGCGATTTTCCTGCCTCAGCCTCCTGAGTAGCTGGGATTATAGTCACCCACCACCACTCCTGGATAACTTTCCTATTTTTAGTAGAGACAGGGTTTCATCATATTGACCAGGCTGGTCTCAAACCCCTGACCTCAAGTGATCCACCCACATCTGCCTCCCAAAGTGCTGGGATTATAGGCGTGAGCCACTGCATCTGGCCTGGAAAGACATTTAGACATTAGATGTTTAGAAGGGAGGTTCAGTAGGATCGGGTGACTGATTTGACATCAGGGATGGGCAGGAGGAAGGCATTTCAGCCCATTCATAGATCTCCAGCTTGTGTGATTGAATATGTGGTTGTGCTGCTTCCTGGGAGAGGGAAGACAGAATATGGGGCAGGTTTGAGAAGGGAGAGTTGTCTGCTGGAGCCAGCAAGGATACCCAGGCCTGCAAGCCGAGGCTGCTGTCAGCACCTGCCGATCCAGCCACAGAGATCGGAAGCCCCTGCCCTTCTAGGCCAAGAGTCCTCCAAGGCAGGGACCTCATGCCTGATATTTCTGTTTGCCCCTCCAGGACCTTTAGAAGCTGTAGAAACATGTCTAGCCAGGATGTTCCACGAATGCATTTCACATCTGCTGAGGTTTGTGAGTAGTCTCCACAGTGTTAGAGGAGGAGGTGACCCTTAATATGGGCAGGTGGGATTCTGAATTCTTGACAGTTCTTTGCCCTGGTAGAGTATCTCTTTTTAAGCACTTGAGATAACTTGATTGAATGGACTATATAATCACCAGATTAAGTCAAAAGCCAACTGAAATGACAGACTTACACAAGAAGTAGTTATGGGGTGTTTACGAGTCAGGTATCTTCCTGTTGGTCATACCCACTTCTCCACTTGTGCTGGTTTCTAGTAACACTATCTGTACAGCTTTAATGTTACTGGAATTTACTCAGAATTTATTATAAGATATCATTCTGTTTATGTCTCCATAGTACCATGTTTTTGCTATGTGAATATATGAATGAAGGGTTAAATGATTTCTCAAAGCCAGGGCATAATTCTTCAAAATACTGTCTTTGCTGTAAAAATTTACTAAAAATAACTAACACTGAAATGTTTGAGCCACAGCACGCTTTTACTTTAATGTTCGGATTTCTTGGTTCTTGATATATTGACAGTGTTGCTGGGTTAGCTATAAGCCTAATTCCTTATTCTCTTTAGTCTCTATTCTTAGGGCTGCTTTGTGTAAGAGAAGAGCTTGGTTCTTAGATGAACTCTAGCTTGATTTCCTTTGTGCTTTTGTTTCTTCACACTAAAGAAAGCTATGTAGGTGTTCTGTTAGAGATGTTTATTCAGTACTGTCAAATTATCTGTTGGTCAAACCATCACAACCAGTTGTTTATCCCTCTGAGAGAAGAATCTAGATGGGTGTGTTACCACCAGCATAGTAGTGCTCTTAATACCTGCAGTTGGGGAGTACATCCCCTGGGTCCCGCAGCATGAAACTCTTCCTCTTTTCGGGAACACTCATCTGGAGATGCCTGAGGCCTTTTGCCTTTCCTTAGGGCACTGGTGAATGTCTGATTTAATGCTTTGACCCAGACTTGTAAAGCAATAGATTCATTTGGGGAGAAGATGGCAAGTAGCATGACTCAGCCTCCACGCTTACATTTATCTTCCAAGTAAGAAGTTTGGGGGTCCTGAGATTTTCTTTTTTTTCATAAGTGTCTTGACAAGCATGGGGTGGGGGTTGGGGAGTGGAGGAGGTGACCCTTGCTAGGATTCTAGAGGGGTCTGACCTCAGAGCTACACTGCCTGTCCTCTGGTCCCTCCCTGGGGGCCTCTGCTGCTATCTGCCTTGGGCACCTGCTGGAAAGGAGTGGCTTTCCTCTCTGCAGAAAATAGTGGCCTTCCTGGGAAGTTTCTTTGAATCTATTTATAGTGCAATTCCACTGGCTCCATATCTACAGAAAATTGATCTTTGAAATTGGGAAATACTTGTGATGCACAAGAGTGGTTTCTTTTTTCAAGAGAAATGTTGAAAATCACATTGCTAGGTGACAATGTCTCTTGACATAGAGAAGTTAAAAGGAGCTGGCCAGTCAGCATGTTGGGCGGTCTCCCTGTAGTTCCCAGCTACTCAGAGGGCTGAGGCAGGAGGATCAGTTGGGCCCAGGAGCTCAGCCTAAGCAACATAACAAGACCCCCATCTCTTTAAAAAAAAAAAAAATCTCAAGCAAGGGAAATGCAAAGGAGCTGGTCAGCTGAGAGACCCACAATGTAAGCAGGGCCTTGGAGCACCTGCAGTCTTGGAAGGGTAGGCTTTGTTCTCAGCCACTTGATACATGCTAGATTACTCTTTTCAAGTGATTTAATTTCACTTGAAACTTCCCCTCTCTTCCTATGTTAATCTGTTAAATGAATATAAAAAATCTGCCTGTTATTACTTAGCAAGCCCTTGTTAGAAGAAGTTGTGAAGTTACTTAAGGGTTTCTGTTTTTTGATTCTTGTCTTTTTTTTTTTTTTTTTTTTTGTAAATAAAAGAAGTTTCTGGAATATATTGTTAAATTTGAGATAATTATTCCAACACCCAGGAAGGATGAAGTGATGGGTGCATATGAAACAAATGCTGATTTGCAGGTGCCCTTCCCCCATGCCGAGTTACCTACCTATGGGAGGCAGAGGGGCAGAGCTTCTGAGGGGCAGCAGCCTCAACTGCTTGCAGAGGCCTTGCTCAGGGCGCTCCCCCTCTAGGCTGCCTCGTTACATCCTCAGTTTAATTCCTAGCCCACAGTGGTCCCAGCCAAATTGCTTGCATGTTTCTAGACTCCAGCCTGAGGACTCCACAACACTCAGCCAACCAGCTACACAGA